TGGTAAAATGTATTCAGTGCGGTAGATGTACCGTTTAATTCCCGTCTTATGTTGTATTTCTTCAGTTGAAGTTTTTATTGTTACCTACAAATCGAAATGTTTATATTTGTGCATACAATAATGACTGTAATCAAATGTTATCTCAATACATACTACAAATGTAATTGACTTATCCCAGTAGTTATTCAACAAAATGCTGAGTTTGTATTCATTTGGAGGTACTTTGAATATTGGGATTGTTACCTAATATTAATTGTTTACTAATTAATATTCACAACGTATACAAACGTTGATAAATAATAATTATTATACACTTACTTTATTATTTGCATAAAGACGCAAACAAATTTGATAACTATTAAATGATAGATGTTAATTGCGGTACAATTATAGCATATAATCACTATAGATTACTTACTTTCTGCATTCATTGATATCATCAACATGGCTTTCATATGTGAAATGTGCTTTCAAATGACCTAATAATAATAGTAATTAGTATGCATAATAATATACAATTATGTAATCATTGCCAACCCTTACTTTTGTGCATGTAATAAACCTTTTCAAAAAATGCATTTGTATTCTTGTAATTATACCCAGTATTGTTATGCTCCTTATACCAAGATGCAGCTGTGTTGTACCACCTGGAGTAATCATCTGTTCCATACAGATGGTTGCATAGTGATTTCCATTGATTAATATTGTCTAACTTATCCATTGCATAATGAGAAGAACTATCAACAAGAATTTTAAACCATTCCACATCAAACTCAAGTTTGTTTGCATATTCATTAATAACATCAAACGCCTTCCATTGTATATCTAAACACTTAATATGCCCAATATCTTGTTCAACCCCTTTCTTATTTTCCAAAGCTACATGTGCCAGTAAACTTAAATACCAAATATTATCATAAACATCGTTTACTTCAATTACTGTCTCAATATCAAACAGGGCTTTTTCAAAATGTCCCATTTTCAATTTGATGAATGCTCTATTGTATAAAGCAGTATAATTTGTTGGATATTCTTGTAATATCTGTGAGTATGTGTTCAAAGCACCTTCCAAATCATTATTCTTGCATGCAGTTTTAGCCTTCTGAAGTAGTTTGTTTACTACAGTTGGTGTTCTTATTGTCTTCCAGATTGTGTTCAAAGTAAACTTATTATCATACCTTCTATTTTCTTTTTTTTGTTTTTTAGGGTTATCATGTTGATCAAATAACTCTGTAACTGGATTGTTTTCATCAGTCGAATCATAAACATCTTGATCATCTTTTGCAATATAACATTGAATGTTATTATATATTGTCTGTTGTGGTAAATAATATACACCGTCCTTTTTAATTTCAGTCCTACAGTAAGGACATTCCTGCTTCTCCAAAGTAAAAGATGAAAGAACTTTGAAACTAACTGAATGTTGGCAGTTAAGCTGATACAAACCATCAACAGTTTCACAAGTAATTGGACATTTGAAGTCTTCTATTGGGCTTTTATCATTATACTTTTCTTTACCTTTGCCTTTTCTATCACTATCCTGCTCCCTTGTCTCTCTATTGTCTGGTGAGTATTTTAGGTGCAGTTTTGATTCCACTTCTAGCTTGTCTTTCAGATAATGGTAAATTTCCACTAATTTTGGTATATGCTTCTCCTCACAACCAGCAATGTCATCAGGTGTTGTGACAAACAATTCCTTGTTTTTGGCTTCAAGATTCAATAAGACTTCAATTGACTTAAATTGGATAAATTCACTGACTGCATTATTGAGCGAGTCTAATGCTAAGTAGTAGCAGATAGCTTGTGTTGTTATGGAAGAGGTTTTCCAGATAAGCTGTTGGACTAAATCTAAAATCCCAAACCAAAGCACATCACTAACTTGTTGATTCTTTGCTGCATTATCAGAATAACACAAACTGATATGAAACCAGAGAAGTTCAAGAAATAATCTTTCTTTAAAAGCTGTTGAAATGCCGCAATCCTTTTCCTGACTCCACTCATCAAGAGTTTTCTTTAATTTAATAAGTCTTCTCAAAGTTGTGTACCATGGTTCACCTGATGATTCAATCTGGAATGCTTCCACAAGGTACATCCATGCTCTCTCCAACTCGAAATCACCAAGAGGAACTTCGACACCAGTAGTCATTTTAAGCCCCATTTTAACTAATGCAGGTGTGGAAAGGAGTAGAGCTTTCAATACGGCAATAGCTCGATCTACGCTAGTTTGCTGGTAGTTCCTATCACCACAAATACTATTTAATGTATTTTCAATAACTTTGAAGAGATACTTGTTGTCATAATTGCATTTAAAACTTTTAGTATCACCATCCGGATCATTAAATTCTGAACAATTTGACTTCCAAAAGTTTCTTCCGAGTTGCGAAATCTTTTCATGCGTCCTTTTGTATGTGGAAGTCGTTTTTCTAACATTATCAAGAAACTGACTTGTAAGTGTAGGTCTACGCTCGCATAACTGCTCTAGAATAGTTGTAACGATTCGTAATTGCCATTCCAGTTTAATAGGCGCTTCTTCTGAGAATGCCATGTCGTCCGTTTGAGGACGCAGACCAGCCATTGCCGTTACTAGCATCTCCAATGACACTGAATGACCTTGATGTTCAAGAATATATTTGAGGGCGTAAAGATTCTCTGGATACTGAATATCCGTTAGCAATTCCTTTATTTGCGCATCTGCAGAGGTACGTCCTTGGTCAATCAGCGTGCGTATAAGTTTAGGAATACTGCCTTGGTTTACAGTGATGCTGTTCGGCGTAAAGACATGGTTGATGGAAGTTGAGCTTTCGGACTCCTACAATATAATGTAAATGTTAATGCTTAATGTTAGAATAGATCCAATGGAGATAGTGTTTTGTTCAATACCTCGTATGCCATTTTTGCGAGAATACTTTCTTCAGTCATACAGCTCATTTTTCGGAGGTTAGATTTTGTGTAACATAATTGAGAAAATCACATGAATTAATACCATATTATGGGGGTACGATATCCATAGTAATACAACATAGTGGAAGTCACATATGAAAGTCCGTATATGAGGTTTTTTCGCCCGATCATTGCCGATCATTGCATTGCCCGATCATTGCCGATCATTGCATTGCCCGATCATATTGAAATAGTAAAAGACGTATAAACTTCATACCTTAAGGCCTTTCAAAGACGTTGGTTATGGTAGATACTTTCATGCATCACGAAAACTGTATGGACTTTTAATTGCTGAATAAACGTGCTTTGGCAATTGCAAACGTTTTAAATTAAGCGCTTATTTGGTCCGCTTTATTCAAAAGCGTGTGCTAAAACGTTAACTAACGCTCACAATAATGCAGAACAAACGTAGGATAATTATCTACACTTGTAATTGCTTATATTTAAAAGATACTATTATACGTTAGTTAAACGTATATACTGGATTGAGATTTCAAGTGCGTAAAATTATTTGCGAGTTATCAAACGCTTGCACCCGATTACGTGTGTAAGTGTAGAACATTCGCTAAGCAAACGCTCAATCGTACGTATATTAAACGTGGACACTCGATTGAAATTACAAATGACAACAACTTGCTTATTCTACATTGGGACGACACGCTCATTAATACTCTTTATATTTTGCATTGTGTGGGCGACGGCGGAAATATAGTTAACACAATTATTGTTTTCTTTGAATAAAGAATTGCACGTTTGGTAATAGACTTCACTTTTTGAATTATTAAAATATAAAAAAAAATGCTTTATAAACAAGACCGTAATAATACAATGTTTGTAATCCTTAAAGCGATGTGCAACTACACACGAAATAATTGTTCCGGGTATATACCGATAATATGGCATTATAGTTATCATGTTGGTATTAAACTTCCAGTTTTGCCTGCTGATAAATACCCATAATAATAAAGCAAGTATCAGAAAGTTTCTTAAATTTTCTCTCATTGTATTGTACTGCAGACGTATGGGGGGAAAAGGTTTATCGTAAAATTTATGTTTAAAGATAAAAAACCGCACTTTTCGTCAACGATTAAGCTATTTTTTGCATTTGCAGGATATATATAAAACTTTACCGAGTAAATCTAGATGCTTCAAAAATTGCAAGTGATTGACGGAGCTCCAATCACCGTATTAAACTTCCGTTTATTGGAATAATTGTATGGACATCTTGCCATATTCTGTAATAATAGAACGACTTCGGCAACATAATTCTTGTTAGGTAACTTCTGAATCATGTCATGCGAGCCAATTACTTTAGTTAATTTCTTAATAATATTCCATTAGCAAGAAATTCTTCGAACAGGCTTGGGTTGCAGAATAAACAAGTTTTCCCGTAGGTTACAGTAAAGTCTCAGCTATCGCTTTAATAGTTTTTTCATAACATATTTGTTTCAAAACTGTGGAGCGTAGATATATGGATGAAATGCGCTTGCTTGTAACGTGGCGAAACCCAATGAAATTTTTGTACAAAGTTTATCTGTATAATATTTGGGCATGCATTAACATTTTCCTAACGGCAATAAAATAGCTTGCTTATTTCCTCAAAATGTTGCTGAGCACGTTTGTAAATGAACGGTCAACGATTACGTGTCTCGGAAAAGCTGATACTGAAGCGACTTGAGAACTATTCAAGAGTATGCTTACTTGGATATTGTTAACCAGTCTAAGTCCACTACATTAGAGGCAGTTCATATATTTATAAATATTTTTAGGTACATTTCTTATGTGATCGTGACAATATTTAAACGTCGAGAATAAAATAACACAACCGTGTTGCAGCAATCAACGTTTTGACGGTTGGCGTTCTTGTCAATATACGAAAACGAGTACTCGTTACGTGTATGCATCAACATCAATACAGAGACTCGGAAGAAAGAGTTATTATGAAGAGTGTAACAAATCGTTCCATTAAAAAGTTACCTAGTAGAAGCACTCTAATATTAAATATAAGAACACGTGATAGTATTTGAAATGACGGTCCTTGACGTCACAAGGCGCATACCATGGGAACCTTCGTAATTCAAAAGAGGCCAAATTATTCAGTTCGATCTTTCGTCTACTTTCTACGGATCTTGAGGTAAGAGACGTAAGCACAGAAACAGTGTATTATCAAATCCACATCACATCGCTAAACACTACATTTTTGCCAAAAAGCTCCATGCCACCGTCTAAAGCTCCTCGCATTCCACATACGATTACTACTCGTTTTCGAGCCGGAATACGCAATTTCCCATCCGAATTGTTTCCCCTCGTTGTAGTTGTAACTGCTGGGTTATCGGCAGGTGTTTTTGCGGCTGTGCGTAAAATGCGGACCGATCCGACATTGAAAAGACGTCATTGATGTACTGAAATCAAAGCATTTGGGGGGTGTGTTTGCAGTAGTCATAATATGTGTGTAGCCGAATTTAGTGTGTTACTGTGCACATTCAAATAAAGGTACCAGTTTTCATTATCAACACGCATCGCATGCACTCACGTCACATTACCAATATAACAAGCTCGATACATTTATTCAGTTGATGAATAAAAAAAAAAAAAAGCAATTCACAAGAAAGTCCAATCAAAGAGACAAAAAAAAAACAAGAATTCAAAAATGGGTCTTTGCAACTAGACCAATTACAAAAAGCCGATAAACGAAAAAGTATCGAATTCGATCATCTTGCGTTTAGAAAAAGAACAAAAAGCAAAACAGAAAACACTATTGCTAAGATTAAATGACCCTCATGTGAGAAAAAGATAATGTATATATTTATATATTAATATGAGAAGAAGGAAAAAAGAATAAATGCAAAAAGCCCGTCGGAAAATTCAAAGGATAATTCCCCATTTTCTTTTTTTCTGTGAAAAGTTCTCTTTAGAAACGATGACAGTATTCGAAGTTCGGAAAGCCGTCCTTGGTGCTACACGAATAAAGAGATGTGAGATTTCAGTTACCATCCCATTCCTCTGTTCAAATGTGGTTAAGCATATTACACTACTCACCGAGTATTCTATAACCAATTAGACTCTCCGCGTACGTTTTCGTAAATTTTCGTTTAAAAGGTTTGGCCTTATCGTAAATGGCCTCATCGTAAATGGCCTCATCGTAAACGACCCCATCACGTTTTATTGCGACCCGAGCTTGGCGTATAAAGCTCTGGTTATTCGTTTTGGTTTTTTTTTTTTTTGGTTTTTTGTGCGATGAGGTTTCCCCACGAATGACCACTGCCGCTCGGGTTTACGACAGTGGCTAGTATTGATTATATTGTGAGTGAGAGAGAGAGAGAGGGTTACAAATATTGTCAGTACAGGAAAACGGCATGCCAGTTAGTCATAATCTATAGCTTTTCTCTCGTCCTGTTTGAGTGTTTGTACTATAACGATATATTTATCAAAAGCAGATTATTAGAATATTATTCACCTTGCGCGAATACCGAATTTTTGAGAAATTCAAACGACGATTAACAAACAGTTTAATCACTTGAGACTTTTCACTTCATGTACGATGGTTTGATTTATACTTGAGAATTATTATCCAACATCGAACAAAACTCTACTGGCTCATGCAAAATTTCCGTGTTTTGACAGATGTGTAACGCCAACACTTATTATCGCTATCAGAGATTGCATGACGATAAGATGATCAGTTGCCGTTTAATGTGTTCCCATTAGAAACGGGGTTACGCCCAAATCTCATCAGAGACGCTAACATGGATGAAAACGTTCGTTGTTGCAAGGGGGGTAGGTTTGAATCAATATTCAATTTTGAGAAGCGAAAAGTTAACAAGATTTCAGTTAATTATACCGCTCCAGTTGTAACACCAACTCAGAGTTTAATTTCCATCCGTGCGCAACCAAAAGGCGAGTAAGTAAATATTTGCATTACGTGCGACACAGGTGACAAAGACGCAGATACAGAAAAGGAACACGTTTTAGTCGATCTGAAAGTGGCTGAAGGTATAGTAAAACAAAGAACTTTCGTCTTGTGGGTAGATTCGGAATCTTGCAAATAGAATTGGCGAAACGTAAGACTGATAAACGATAACAGTTCCCAACTTGCTCTTTGACACACTCTTTTTTTTTTCTCCGCTCGTTACTCGAACAAAGAAATTCTGCAGTGTCTCGCACAAACCAATGAGAAAAAAAAAAAAGTCCCTATGGCCTAAGCACCCATCGATGCACCGTGCTTTTTTTGTCGGCATCGAACTAACCAATTAGCCTGGATAAACCTTCTTATGCTCACACGAACAACATTTTTTGGGGAGGGGTAATTCTAATTTAGCCATTGCAAAATCTAACTAGAACATAAATGGAATAGTGGAAGATTTGGAAAGTACAGACTGTTTTCTGGACTACTAAAAAAAGTTAACCGTATGGGAAAAGATTAGTACCTGTCTAACTTCAATTCGGGGTACCAAACCGGTTACCCATCCTCTCACAAACAATCAAAGAAAACCGTGAAATTAAAATGTTTCTCTCTTTCGTTTAATCCGAAACAAAAAAAAAAGCGGGGAAAGGGACAATGAAAAGCCGGCAGCGATACAAGTCATACTGAATACGATATATGAAACAAAAAACTGTAATATGGAACCGTATTTCTTTGATTAAAACATGTATGCAAAAAGTCTTTTATGTACAACGTGCAGCTGCATATTACCAAATATCGATATATGAAGAACCTAAACTCAGGGGGCTTTGAAACTCCGAACGCCACACAAACTGTTGTTTGTTTATTCCCAAACCGTACTGCAAACTTTTTTTAATAATAAACGAGAAACATACAATTGAGGGCGTTTGCCGATTGAATGCGAATAACTTTTTTTTTCTGGAACTCTTAGCTTATTTAGTGTCCTCGTAAATTTGTCTCTTATCTGAGAATTGGCATCAAATCTTGGGGTGGGTTTGCCTCAATGATCGTCGGCGTACATTTACTATATGGTCACAAACACACTTTTTTTTAAACATTATTGTCATACAAGATGTGCACAAGAATTAAACACAAAAAACTTTTTTCACATGAAGTACCATTAATTGAATAATGCGAAATGGTTTCAGCCTTACGTTATTTTACGCCGAAACGCCTATTTTCACAAGTTATGAAAGTGTTTAAATGTAAATTAGAGTGAAAAGGGTTAGGTCTTTTATTAGCATTGAATAAAAATAATTTTTACTTCCCATTTTTTCAATGCGATCGTCGGGTTACACAACTTGCATACGCAATTTTACTGTACGATATTCTTTATCGGAACTTTAAAGCTTGATTGGGTATATTCACAGTTGCACTATTACTTTATCCAAATTGTAGTGTTTCACAGTTAAAATATTAAATGTCTGATCAAATGATACCATAGTTGCAGGAACCACACTCAAGGAGGTCATGCCCTCCAATGCATTTGTGGATGTTCAACCTACGGACTGTTGCATCATGTAAGTAATCGGATGCAATATCTCAAACCGTAAAACTCATCCTTTTGGTCTTTTATTTATTATCTATGTATTATTTTGTTTAATGCTTTAGAATACTTGCTTCGACATTGAATTGGATAGAACGCAAAATGTTTTCGATAACTTTAACTAACTTATTGTTCAGCAGTGTCATAAATGTAATGCCGACAAAATACTTTGGTTTTTAGAAAGATGTTGACGGCATCTAGCTTGTATTTACCAATTAGCAAAGCAGATTTAATTGAAGACAATAAAACCTTTTTTAAACATATCAACAAAATTGGTAATGGCAAAAAACTATATTGTTATGCTGTCAGCGTGAAGTCAATTCATTTGCAGTGCTCGAGTGAGGTTACTTCTGTTCTCGTGATCTTGAACTACCTATCATTTAATAACGAATATCGATATACTACTTGTGTCTGAGTTCAGGATCTGTCTCAGTTCAGTTTCCAGTTAGCCAGTCCAGAACTCAGTTGTCTCAGTTTAGAATTAAGACAGGAAAAAAATAATATTTTAAGAATCAATCGGTGTTCCGGGCTCGTCAATATCTCAAGTATATTTTCAGACCAATGTAGGCGCGCACAACACGATCTCGTAATAATAAAAATCAATTACTGCGGATTATAACATTTTAACACCGCTGCTCAATGCAAACGTGCGAACAATATTGCGAAACGAGATCAATTAATCAAAGAGACAATATAAGAAAATGCGGTTAAAGTCGGAAGTAATGAATAATAGGTTGCTTTAACGGAGGAGTGAGATGTAGACACGATTACGATTTTATGCATGTATTTGGATACCGCTTACACGTGAGGAATAGTTTGGTGTTGAAGACTATGTGAATGGTCACTTTTAGCTTTATTGTCAAACATAAGGCTTCTATAACAATATCGACTGTTGAGACTTCCTCGGCATGTCCGATTCTATCCAACATTTAATAGTAATAACTTCTTTACGAGCGGTATTCGCGTCTACTCATCAATTGCAGCGGAAAAGACCGCGCGCTTGTGATATAATTGATCTCAGGAACAGAAAACATGTAAGTTATACAACGTGCAATAAAAACATTTCACATTGAAACAAAAGAAATCTTTTTGCATTATACCGTATAGTTATAATATTTCTTAGTAATAGTGTTAGCTTTTTTTTCGAAGATCATGTGAAACAAATCTCTCTTATGGGTCGAGGGTGACCGTATCCTCATCCGTAAAGGAAAATGTCTATATTACAGTATTACTAAGGCGAATTAGACTTTGAAGCATCAGGAGAAGCAATCAAGAATATCTTCATCCGAAGCTAGCTATAATGCTTTTAATTATAATTTTAATCGTCCAGAAGAAAATGCGTAAATACCGTACACTCTTAACAAATTGTCGTAATTATTCATAATCGCCACCTACAAGTATTGAGAAGAAGCAGACTTACACAGAAAAATTTATTTATTTATTATTGATTGGCTTCCCCGTATAATAAACGTACGTTTTCGATAATAACCCATATCCAGTATAGAGCAATTCCCACTTGATGGATGTGATGGTATAATTAAATCTAGTGCATAATGCCCAATAAAACAGAGTACTTTCATGATGTCCGGTATATTGTGAAACTCGATCTCTCGACTGAGGGTCGAAACATAGTTTCCGTTATATCGAGTTTACTGTATACTGCACAAGTCGCCTCTTACTCCGACCAAGATTTCTTGTATAAGTGTTTCATACATAAAGGGATACAGATAACGTGATAGAGTTCGATTTAAAGTTTAAGGTATATGGTTAACCTACAATTACGATAACTTAACAAAAAAGTTTGTACTTTTATTGAAAAAAGAATTACACTCAAAAATTATTAGACGAATATGTATCAACACAATAAATATTGCACAAAGATCAATTATTCATTATGGTTGGAATGCCCGTGTTGTTTGCACAAGTAAACTCGTTATAAGAAAGATGTCGATCTTTATATCAAGCGTCATCTTCGCTTTGTTGGATGCAACTGTCTCACACTAGAACTTTTTATACCCGACTTTTTTATTATTGGAAATCTTTCTTCTATAAGAACGATAAATACAATAGTAGCAATATGGAGGTAAAATGATGCAGTAGCGACAGATGTTAAATTTAACCTAAATGAAGCCACTTACTGCCCGTTGTCTCTTGATTAGACTCCCGACTCGTTACCATACTTTTCTTATTCTTCAACGTCTATGCGATGCATAACATTCAGCCGACAATAACAACTCTCTTCGTGTCATTGCAAACACAGAGCGCTCATTCCACATCAGGCCGCAGTCTTTATGTCACTCACACGAGACATCCTGCCAATTCAAAGATTATCAGACAATTTGAATAAGAAACTGCCCGTTGCAGTCTAATATCCCATCGCCCTATGGGATTATATCCATCGACGACGTAGTTGGAATGGATCGGTTTGATGACAACCATAACTGATGCCTTCGGCCAGAGACTTTTACAGATCCCTACGGGAAAGTGAAATAAGCCATTCTCAAAAGACGATTGATCCTCAACAGTATATTATTTCCAAATATCCTCCACATACCGGTATATGTAAAAGCACATTAATGCACAGTCTTATTAGGTAGTAACAGCACAGAAATGAGTCGTCAACCGCAAGTTGTGTCTAACAAAGACCACAAAAAGTTTTCACATGCTGGTATCGATTCTGCTTGGTCCGGGATCAAGACTACGTTAAACAGACATTCTTATCAATATTTAAATGTAATCTCAAAGTCTCGTTCATGGATACTTTGCACCACGAAATAACATACTTCCACATAGCCACCACTTCGTTCCTCGCCAAAACATTAGTTCGAAACCGGATATTGGAAGGAGGGGGTGCTTTTCATCGATTGTAAGACATCACCCGTCTTGAACAGAATTGCCGCATCGTCCCTCTGAACAGTATTAGCCGAGTTCGCCGAGAATACGGAATAAGTTTGACCTAGCCCACGATTCCCGTTATCCTGTTTGATTAATTTTTCGAGCTGCATTTCATCTGCCGCTAAGGAAAAGCTCAAGAGCCTCTATCCTAGTTTCCAACTACAAATAATAAATCATAGTAATTTTTCACTTGAAAATAAATTCGATACGTTATAAATGCACAGACAACTCCCGCTTCCCCTATTCCCTAACCTATACCATCGCAATCCACTCTTTCCCCTCATTCTACTCCACACCCCTCAAATAACGGACCCCTTTCAGCTTTTATGTGTAAATTAGATTTTGATAAGGCAGCGTGGCAATAAACATGTACCTCATCCCTCACTCAACCAGCGGCAATTCCTCTTAACAACAACGATACTTACCAGTTGGGTTTATATTTATTGGTCATTTCCTTATTGACAATAACCAAATTGACCATAATCGTAATCCAAAGCTCGCCGAAAATAACAATACAGACTCTTCGATCCCAGCTAATGGCCAGAGAAAAGTTGTTGAATAATCCAACAAAGTTGTCATAGTCACACCTTATTATTATGCGCAATTATAGTAAATCGTATAACATCCATAGAAGCACGCGCCATATTACTTTCGGTACGCGGCGTGACCAGATTCGAACGAGTTCGCTTGGGCTGACACATCTTTCTTTCGGCTTGTAAGCCTCCTTCCTTTATCACCTAGTTGGACCGTAAGCAATCGGCCGGTTCGGTTGTCGTCGTCACTCGTTGTCGTCGTCTGCCGTACTGATCCTGCTTAGAATAATCCTATAATGTTAAGCTTAAAAGCAAAAATGGCGAAAGTATCATGTGAGATTTGTCAAAAATGGATGATGTAAACGACGAGAATAACGAATAAACGAACATACAGATATCCCTTGGTTACATCTCTTTCGTTTAAAGAAACGATATTCGTGATTGATAGGTACAATACATCTGCATCCTTCCTGACTCGTCAGTCCTGGCAACATTCCATGAAATACAATTTGCTACTTGACATTGATACTAATGATGCATCGCTAATTCCGTTCACAGGATCAGGAAATACCTAGCTTAATTTATTCGAAAGCGCACAGGATGTCTTTCCCTCAACATAATCACCCCCAATACTTTGACTCACATTACAGCTTCGCGCTTGCGTTGAGATACAATATAACTACCTCTCTTGCGCTCGAATGATCTTGCTGTCTTCGTCCAAACATTAATACGCCACGAGGATCGAGAAACGTCTGCCTCTTCGAAGACATACTCGGAGAAATGGGTGTCTCCTCTACAGTGAATTCTAGCATAGTTGCAGGTTAGTACGGGTAATTCGGCCAAACCAATGCTTGAAACAAAACGTACTTGGTATAAAGCTCTATTTTTTATGAAATAGAATCGGTATTTACATTACGTCTGCCTAAAGCCTTCTTCCGCGCGCGCGCAAACAGAGAATTTGTCAAAGTACACAAATGCCACACCGCCTGACTTGCGAATTCTTAGCCAATAGGAATAGGAATATAATAATCGTCAGAAGATATGTTGATCGGCGTGCTAGTAAAGTGACAAAGTGACTGGCAACTCTGCACAATGGCATGTGAGGTATCGAATATAGGGAAACGACCATATGCTGAGACATTCTATCTACTTATCTATTGACTATTACATCTTATCTTGTAGAAAACCGAAAACTCAATCCCTACTTCAACGATGAGTTCTACCTCAACAACCAACTTGGTATCAAACGCCTTGCCAACAGCAAGTTCCTCGATGACATCGCCTACATCGGCGCCAGGCAACATTGCAAACAAAGGTCGTTTTCCACAAATTATACTTGAATTAATGGAACAAGGGCTTTTGTCACCGGATGCGCAAATAGAGAGATTGTTAACAAACCTGAAATATCCGCAGAATATTTATGCGCTCAAACACATTCTCGAACATAGAGGAGATTTTGTATCGATGGAGATGTTGGATACTGCTTTGGAGAGTCTGTGCGCCCAAGGGTTCGATAACGTGTTTTCAGAAGAAACGACTATTAAATTGGAATGGCGATTGCGTATTACTGTTACTATGCTGGAACTGATGTGTCGAAAAAATTGTCAATTTACACGTTCTTTTATTGATAATATCAGACAAGCCGCTTCCAAATACAAGAATGCGCATTCAAAGATTATGCAGTGTGGAAAAGAAACTTGGAAAAACAATTTCGCAGGATCTACTGAATCTGACAAAACTATCAGCAGCTTTAAATGCAACTACAATAATAGATATCTTCTCAAGCTCATTAAGAATACATTAGATACTGTTTGCAGTGTTGAAAACCAGTACTATACTAATATTGATCGGGCCATTGCAGCATTGAAAGGATTACTTGTTGCTGTTCCTGGATTAGCTAAAGTTGGTATTAAATTAATTACAGGAGTTGATGTTCCTCTTGGTGATTTTGACATAGAGAGGTCCTGGAATTATTTCAAAGAAGCATTCCATATTGAACCATTAGGAAAACCATGGTATGCAACCTGGAGACAGCTAATGATATTGCAAGACAGTCTTGATAAATGGTGTGAACAAGAGTCTGCCATTTCAACAGAGTTCAAAGAAAGAGTGCTTCTTGAGTATCTCTGGTATAATGTCAGTTTATGTTATGCTGAAAATGCAGCAGAGAATCAGGATGTCAGTGATGAACTCTGGTTTGGTATTTTGGACATTATCCAGCAACTTGTACAAAAAACATATTCCATGATTACACAAGCTATTTGCTATTACATAGCATTAGACTCATTGAATAATGCCATTACTGAATCTATTCAATTCAAATCCATTGAAGTGTTACTGAGTCTTGAAATCAAGAATAATGAATTGTTTATTACAACACCTGATGATATAGCCAGTTGTGATGAGAAATATGTACCAGGAATGGTTAACATGTACTATTACCTGAAAGAAAAATTAGAAGTTGAAGCAAAAATGATTTTAAAATGTTTACCAAATCCAATAATAACAAGTACTCAAAAAATGAAGCAACATGGCCAAGGGAAAGGAAAAGGAAAAGGCATTGAGAAAAGTCCAATTGACTATATTGCAGAAGATTTAACATGTGCTATTACTTGTGAAGTAGTTGGTGATTTTTACCAACTTAATTGCCAACATATTATTAGTTCAAAAGCTTTTTTATCATTAAACAACCTGGAGTGCCCTTACTGCAGAAGTGAAATTAAAAAGGACAAAGTGTATTATTTACCACAACAGACAATATACAATAGTGTTCAACATTATTTTACAGAGACTGATGATCAATACATTTACAATGCTAATTCTGAAAACAATACAGATATAAAAATATTTGATGAGTGTGATGATCTTAAAAAACAAAAAGGGAGGAAAAGAGCAGGGAAGTCTGGTTCTGAATCTACATTGCTTTCAATTTGGAAATCATTAACAACAAACAGGTTGTTTCAAAAAGCTAAAACTGCATATAACAATAATGAATTTGAAAAGGCTTTGAACATCTATACACAAATATTACAAGATAATCCTGCAAATTATCAAGCACTGTGTAATAGAGCAATGATAAGGATAAAAACGAAAAATTTTGGAAAAGCACTGTTTGATACTGAGACAGCAATTGAAGTAAACAAGATTTATGATGATGCCTGGCATTTAAGTTTAAGGGCACATTTAGGTTTGGGGAATAAGAAAGGTGTTGAACAAGATATTAGGCATATTAGGTGGATACACAAGCAAGAAGAGGCATTTGAAGTTATTAATGAATATATAAACAAACTTGAGCACTTTGATGTGGAATGGTTTAAACTCCTTGTGGATAGTTGTCCTTACAGAGCAATGAATAAATTAGATGATATCAACCAATGGCAATCACTGTGTAACCATCAGTATGGAACAGATGATTACACCAGATGGCACAACACTGCTGCATCTTGGTATAAAGAGTATAACAACACTCCGCATAACTATAACTACAGGGATACAAACGCGTTTTTTGAAAAAGTTTATTACATGCACAAAAGTAAGGGGTTGGCAATGCAATGATTACATAATTATA